AACGGAGGCTCCACAACATTTCTCCGCCAGATCGTCAAGTATCAGCCGTATCTCGCGTCTCCCCTCCGGTACACAGCACCGTAGTGTGGAGTTGCATTAGGTAACGCGAGATACGGCTGATACTTGCGCATTAGTTTCTGTTATGGATCAGTATCAACAGTCCTGCCAGTAACGTTACTATATTATCAATACTACTTTAGTTATAGCCTGATATATGATTGCTAACTTTACAATGTTGTGATGTGACTGACGTTAGCTAATATTACTGTAGCTAACGCCGGTCACTCACCAAGACAGCTGCTCAGTTCTCCACTGGTTCTCCACACACCAAAGCTCCATTTCTCTCCGATGGCCGTTATTTTTTCTAATCCTTGGCTGCTCCTGGTCTCTTGGACGCATAGCAGGCTCATAATTATAATCATATGCATTCGAATATATATTTTCAACCTCTTCTGTGTCAAAACTAGCATTGTGATCCATGTTTATTCATATGTTAGACCAGCCGCTCTCCCCCATGTTACGTCACACGCGGGAGGTCACGTGCGGAGGCTTTTTTATGCGGAAGTGAAAATGTCTTACTAAAACGACGCCAGATGTCACTAGTATATATTTCTGTATATTTATTTGAAAATCTAGTGTATTCATCATTTTCCTACACATTTATTCACTGGTGTCTCTAACCTGCAAGTTGCTCTTTAATTCAATTTATTTACAGTAGTTGGGACAAAAGAAATTCAGACAGTATCATAGAGTAAATGAAGACTTTACACGTAGTTTCAAAACTTTAAAGGATAACAATCCTAATCCTAATATTGAGCATGAAATTATTGTTTTTATATTCTTAACAGCTGTTCAACTATTTCTTTCTCAATTTGGTTTAAGACCACTTGCCCTTGTCCGTCACTCCATCATTTGAGAACCACTGGTAAGTCAAAACATAAAAGTAATTTTTATTCTTGCACTGTCAGGATATACTGTTAAATCCACTTAATCTCCTCCTGATAAACAATTGAAGCAGAAAAGACACCAGGGAACACCAGAGGGATGTGAAACTGATAGTAAATCCTTTCTCACTTCCTCTTATCTTTCATGTTTTTTTCTTGTCTGTTTGCCTGTTTTCCAGCTCAGAATGCTGATCGGAGGCATTTGTTGAGGTTGAGATAGTCACCGGGACAGGGGGCCGAGACCTCTGGCTCTGGACGGTCCCTCTCTCTTTCTGTCTTTACTCCTTGATTCATGTTTTCCTGACTTTTTCCTGGGGGGGGTGGGTGGGTGTGTGTGTGTGTGTGTGTGTGTGTGTGTGCCATTATGCAACAATTAAAGATAACACATTTGGTGTCCTTCACACGATGTTTTAATGTCCTTTTGCATCTAATCAGGCAGTTTCAAGGCATCGTAGATGTGTGACCGCGTCACAGAAGTCAAAACAAATAATATCAGCCTGTCAGCAGCACGCAAGGACAGATATTATCTCAAGCTACTTAACAAACATACATGTAAGTGATATTATTTTTGCGAGGATGAAACTGCTTTACAGTCTTGTTCTGTAATGGAAGATATGCGAAAATAATTGGGGCACTCTGTGGTGCCTTGTGTGGAACAACAGTGACCTGTCAAGATTTTACCTCTTTTAAAGTGGCAATAGTTAACTTATTGGCTTTAATTTGAGACATCATTATAAGGTATATGTTAATTGGACAGTGTAATGTTTATGAACCATTGGCATTAAGGTTTGTTCCCTATTAACAGCTAGCAATATTATAAATTCTAGTTTGGGAAAAATTGAAAATGTATCCATTGCTGTTTAATAGACAGTCTCGTGTTACTGTGGCTTTATCGACGCAATGTTGTTCTGTCTTTCATTTCACTACTTTGTTCAAGACTGATTGGCTTAAAATAACAGGGTCAGGATTAGAGTTATAACTGTATCCAACCCTAAGCCCCATGTGCAGGGTTCGACCTTTTGCCAGTGTCTCCCCCTTTCAACATCACACTGGAGTTCTTGGTGAGTTTTAAGATCAGTCAGTCTGCAACACAAAGGCCTATGCACATTCAGTGCAAACTATAGCAGATAATATAAAGTTGACACAAATTGGCTGTGTATGATGTAAATAAACACAGACTGCAAAAAAAAGTAAGCACTTGCTCAAAGAAATCTGCATTGCTTTTAACATTTTAATCACAAGCTCAATATGCACTGTAAATTGTCACCCTCACTGAACTTATTTAATTGTATGTTTTGCATTTTCACTGGTAGATTATGTGGCTGTAAGGTTGCAGGTTAAACTCTCCCACCGGTGAGCAAGGCAGTAAAAACCTCGGAGGACTGCTGCCGTTTCTTGTCTGCACGCTTCCTGCTATTGTTCTGTCTATTGGCAGTTTGACCTTTGACCCTCTCTCTGGTCAGTCTCACCTCTCTGCGTCTGTCATCTGTTCGTAAAGTCAAACTAAATTAAAACAGGAAAAGAAACTCAGCTTTTTCATTTTTTCCTTTTCTTTCTGAGAAGCAGACGAGGAGTTGTGTCAGCTGACAAGGAAATCCGTCCAAATTGCTCCGCTCCGCTGGGACGACCAGGAGGGGAAATCCGCCCAAAACTTCCTGTCAGGAAGAGAAAGGTTTTCTCACAATCTCTCTCTTTCTCTCTTTCTTCTCAAACAGACCTCATAGTTAGTGGCCAGAATATAAAAATATTAGCTGCGATTGCAACTACTTAAAACATTTGTCCATCAATATATCTTCTTATTTTCAATCACCTCCAGAAACTGTTTCTGTCCTTGAACAACCTGTTGTAAAAGCAAAACAAAACAAAATGAGTACGATTTAGTAGAAACACCACAAGGTTATAATAAATCCCCAAAATATCTGACAAATCAAATCAAGCCTCTTTGGAATAAGCCCAAGAACATGCCCAATACAAAAAATAGTTTATCTCACAATAATGAGTGTTTAAAGCCAAAGGTCAGCATTTTTTTTAAGAATGTTTTTTATCTGGCAGTTTCAGGTTCATTCTTTCCGTCAAAAATTATTCAATGTCGATTTGTTTTGTTATATATTATATTTTGTATCACTATTGAAAGTAAAGTATGGTTTACTGAGTACTTCCATAGTTTTTGCAAAGTTTTGGGTTAAAAAATATTTGAAGAATTTACTAAAGCTGTAGAGGGACACTTGATGCCCAAATAGTTTCAAACGGTGCAATCATCATTCAACAATAAATGTGACAGTGACAAAGTAAAAAAATATTAGTGTTGGATAATAACTAAAAATAATAATGACTAACATTAGCCAGGCTGATTGACATGGATAACGGGCACATCAACAGACAAGGAGCACTCTTCCCCTGTCAAGTAAAACTAATTTATATTATTGTTTCAATTATTTATTTTATTTTATTATTTTTACAATAAAATAGTGTTTTTTTTATGGCAATAATAAACGAAATATTCTATAATAACACTGTTAATAGAGCCATTCTACATAATGAGTTATTTATTCTTTTGAAACTTTATGTACAATTTCCTGATATTCTTTTACTTAAGTAACATTTCTTAATTCAGGACTTTTACATATAATGCATTATTTTTTAGACTATGGTATTCCTACTTTTTCTCAAGTAAAGGGTCTTTAACCACGTCTGATCCTTTAAAAGTACTGTAGTCAATGGAGACGTTGTGTGTCCCTACATTTTGATGCCGTTATATTGCTCTTGAATCTAAAACAGGTGCTCCTGCTACTCCTGATACTTTACTATTACTATTACTGCTACTTCTAGTAGTAGTACTACTGCCAGTAGAATAGTAGGAGGAGATTACCTCTGCTAGGAGGTTCCTACTTTGCCAGTTTCAGTTGTTGATGTTTTTTTTCTTTCTCTTCCTAGATTAGAGAGGAAAAGACGTGACGCCAGCAGTCGCTACAGCCTCTCGCTGCCCTCTGCCACACCGGACTCTGAGCTGAGCGTTAACCGTAGTTAGTTGAGTTTATATGCTCCTAAATTACAGTGATTGTTGCATTCAGGCTGTAATTAGCAAAGACAGATTTTCTGATAATGTCAACAGTGGCTGGGTCCACCTTGTAGTTTGTATTTTATGTATTTCAACAGAGTTTTTACATCCTTTATCAGCAGGTTGCTTTCAGTTTTCCTAAGTGTTGAATTAGAAGTCCATTGTTTTCTAATAGTTTTGTTTTTCCTGCTCAGAGGATGTTGTTATCAGTGTGTTTTTCCTGTAGCTTGTAAAGCAGTTAGGGTTTGAGGGTCAGTGTAGATGTAAGAGGGGAGAACTGATGTGAAGATCCAACATTGCCTGAAAACGTTCTCTACTTTTTCCACTGATTTTTTTACTTCGCACCGAGGAGGAAGCTGGGTCGGTGGATTCATTTTGCCACCCTGAATGTGACACATTGAGCCATGCTGCTGTTGCTGCTGACGATCTGCCTTCAAACTTCACTGCAACAAGAACAGGTAACACACTTCCAACTCCGTCACACTGACACACCGTATCTCCTGTTTGCTCTCAATATCTAAGGACATATTTTGTCAGAGATCATGTAGACTCAGCTGAAGCTTTTTGGATAAAGTACAAATATTAGAGGTAAACATTTACGAGCACATTACTACTTACTACTACAGTCCTGAAAAAACCCTAACATAAAACAACCTTATAGAGTGCTCCAGCTATGAATGGTATTTCATTACATCTTTGTTTCTAATTTGCCTTTTTCTTACATAAATAGAAAGTAACAAAAAAAGCAGCAGAATCTAGAAATGCTGAGTCTCCCTGGACTAAAAGCCCACAGTCATTGAGCTGGATGCCTTTTACATGTACACAGAGACAAGGCTAAAAGATACAGCAGGTAATATGTACCTGCTGTATCTTTGTAGATTAGTACAAAGTGTCATTAGAACATTTGGACGAAATGAAATGTTGAAGTGGTGTTTGATGAAAAGTCTACAATTCATCCCCTTTAATATCTATCCATTTCTCCTAATTTGCAAACTATTTTAACATTATATTTACGGTTTTATGCTAACTGTTTAGACTTCCCTGCTTGTTTAATAGCTGCTTTAACACACACTCTTTTTTTACTTTTTATTTTCATTTTTCACACTGCTTACCAAACATATTTACACAACAACAAGTATCTACAACCAAGATATATAATACTTAAACATAATGAAATGAAGAGAAAAATGTATCAAAATGATAATATGAGACAAGAGGAGGAAAGAAGAACAAATATTATGCTATTTTATCGCTGCAAGTTGTTCTGATGTTTGGTCGAGGGTCTGGCCAACAGGTGTAAAGATGAGTCAGCTCCGAATGTCCTGCAGGAAAGACACGGTTTTATTGAAATAGGTTTTATTGTCATTTAGGTTTGCAGGGAGTTTTTCCAGGTTTGCATGATCTGTTAACAGATTGAGCCAATGGTTGATTATTATTTTGTTCTGTCTTTGCATTTTTGCTTTTAGTAAAATTATTTTCTTTCCTACTGTTATTGCAATAAGGATGAAAGGTTGGAGAAGTTTTTTATGATCTCTCAATTGCAAGACTTTAAGTTAAAGTTGCAGCTGAATTAATATATATATATGTATATATATATATATATACATATATATATACATTTTCTAATCACAAAGTTATTAAAAAAAAAGTCAAATTAGTTGAACAACACCACATTATTTCCATATACCCTTGGTAACTGCAGATGTGCTCTTGAGTGCAAGATACCTTGGTTTGGAATCACTTAGAGTCTAAATCAAAGCAAGCATTTGTCTATCTGTAAATCAATTGAAGAGTCAATTATCTATTGTCCTAATCAGAAAGCTACAGTGTAATGGTTGGCCCAGGCTCCACCAACAGGGACACATACAATATACTTTAGACATAAACGAAAAAGACATACTGTATGTCTTGCAAGAAAATGCAGGATTAAGTAAACTATGCACATGTAAAATAGAATAATATATACAGAAAGTCAAATGAAATACTTGATGTATGTTCTCTGCTTCCTCAGACGCCTCCTCCTGGTCGTTGTGATGTCTCTCAGAGGGAGGAGGTCCACACCTCCTGCACCTCTTGCGCCGCCGTCTCCTCCAGCAGCTGCCCCCGCGGCTTCAGCCAATCGGGCACCCTAAACTGCAGGTACGCACGCACGCACGCACGCACGCACGCACGCACACACACACACACTAAGATCTAAGATATTGCACTCACACACAAGTAGAAATACCACGGTGTAGGAATACTCAAGTTACAAATAAAGATCCTGCATTAAATATGTTCAAGTACAAACGTATAAGCATCAAAATATACTTAAAGCACTAAAAGAAAAAGTACTCATTCTGCAGATTGGTCAATTTTTAGAATAATATAAATTATTATGTTTTGCGTTACAGTGTTATCAAAGCTGGTAAAGGTGCAGCTAGTTTGAATGACTTTGTATACTGCAGGGTAGCTTGTGAATTTACTCCAGGTGGAACTAAAGTCTGATTTAACGCTTGGTTATATTTCACATCATTCATCCACATCTGTAAAGTAACTAAAGGTATTAAATAAATGTTGGAGTAGAAGTGGCAAAAAATGTAAATATTCAATGAAGTATCTCAAAACTGTAGTTAAGTACACTACTTTATTACATTCTCATAGTTACTTAACACCACTGTTAACAATACACACACAGACCTTAGTGTGTCAGAAGGACTAAATAATGTCTGTTCATTTGATGATTTGTTTGGGGGGACAGTAGCTTTAAATGAAGATTATGGACAAAGGCAGCCGGTTGGGATGTGTCCAAAATATGGTTAACTATGACAAGTATGGAGGTAAGGTGCAAGAGTCAAACAAATTGATAATAAATATAGGTGATGAAAATGGAGTTGAAGTGAAACATTCATTTTCAAGGGATTGGATTAGCTGGAAGCTGATTTAATTAAAACAGTGGTGATATGATGAAAACCGAGCCGTGGTGCATCATTTTCACCTGTCTTTCATTCACAACAAAACATTACCATCAATCATTTAGGCAGGGTGGCCTCACGGGTGGGAGTAACAAATTATAATTGAAAAATTATGATTGAAGTGCTCACAAATGAAAATGGAAGGGATCAAATGTACTGTATGTGAATAAAAAAATAGTAAGATCACCTTGATTGACATTTTAAACGGTGGGGCACGTAATCCACTGTCCGTTAATTTCTCACATCATTTATCTGACTTTTTTAAACCACTGTTGATGGCCATGTATTCATTGAAGCTGTTTTATTAAAATCTGATTTTGATTATTGTGTATTAATTATGTATCACTACATTTTTTACTTTAATTGCATTTTTCATAGTAACAAAAATAATTTGTTTTAGAAGTGGCAGAGATAGTTCTTACTTTCAAGAGCCAACTCAAAACCCACCATTTACATTTTTTTGTAACATTTTTTTTAATTGTATTTATTCTAGGATTTTATTCAATCCTACATTTATTGATTTTTGTTATGACATGTTTTTATTCATCACAAAGTTAGATGTTGCTGCATGAACTGGGAGGGGGATTAGAATTGCTTGTATTGCACTTTGACTTGCTTTTTGTTTATGGAAAGTGCTATAAAAATAAAGATTGATTGATAGATAGTTAGTTTAATAGTTGTTGTAGTACTAGTAATATTTGGACGTGGTGTGTTCTGTATGCTGCAGTTATCTGGTGGAGATCAGTGCCAGGAAGACTCTCCTGCTGGGTGGATGTCAGCACACCTGTGTGAAAGGATACATGCAGCCACGCTGCTGCCCACAGCACTGGGGACCCCTGTGTCTATGTAAGACACGCACACGCACACACACACACTCTTGAAAACACTTTTCCGGGAATGTTAAAATGTAGTTTCATTGGAAAAGATCTGCGTATAATACATTATAAAATACAGGCCTGCTGCAAGTTTCATCTCTATCGCAGTAATAGTCTAAATCTACTCGTTGAAAAGTACATTATTTGCCTCCAAATTGTAATGGAATAGGAGTATAAACTAGCATTACTCAAATGTAATCTATTAATGATCATTCCTAATCACATGTCTATCATTCTCTCCTGACTGTCTGTCTGTCTGTCTGTCTGTCTGTCTGTCTGTCTGTCTGTCTGTCTGTCTGTCTGTCTGTCTGTCTGTCTGTCTGTCTGTCTGTCTGTCTGTCTGTAGCCTGTCCCAGCTGGTCAGGGAAGACCTGTAACTACCATGGAACCTGTCTGGATGGAGACGTGGGAAATGGGACCTGCGTCTGTGATGTCAGTATCCTGTCTGTCTGTTTGTCTGTGACCATCCTACCTGTTTGAGTATAGAGATCAGTATTATTAGTTTACAGTGGAAAGTGCCCTTAACCAACCATTTACAATAATGAAAACCCACCTGTTTCGTATGCACCTTGGCCATTAAAATATTAACAAAATAAATTCAAATAGGTTCTTAAAAGGGTTTGGCTTATTTGAAGCTCATGTACTTACAGTATTCCAGATAATCGGAATGTGTGCCACCATGATTGATTGCGCTTTTGACTTGATAAAAGTGTCAGCTTAATGTAATTAAAAGCCTACATCCCCACAGGAGTTATGGACATTTTCTTATTTGATGTTTGTTTTTTTGTTTATTTTAGATTATTGATGTCTTGTCAATATTATATACAAATATAAATGATTTTTACAGCCTTTTTTCTCTCTTTAGGAAAGCTTCTCTGGCTTTGCCTGTCAGGAGTGTAAGAATCCAAACTCCTACGGAGAAAATTGTGATAAAAGTAAGCTCTCTCACTTCTGACCTCTCGTAAACAAAAACAAAAAAAACGTGATGTGTCAATCTTCTGCAAGAATATCCCCATTGTTTGCACAACTGTAATCTGTGTATGTGTGTGTGCACAGAGTGTGACTGTGAACATGGAGTGTGTAATGGAGGTCCAGAGGGGGATGGACAGTGTTTTTGTCAGCCGCCCTACACTGGGAAGCGCTGTGACCAAGGTAAGAGCATGACGTGCAGGAATATACTGTATGACATAAAAAACTATATTAACGTGGATCAAACAATATACTACTGCATTTGATCAAGATACAAAATATTATATTTACCGTTATAGTGGTTAAATTAAAGAAAATAGCCCTGAAACTATTTCAAAGCTATTTAGCGTTTATATCAAACAAGCAAAAAAACACATTATGTTCAAATGTTCACTGCAATGTGCCAGTCGTAAATAATTAAATTAAACTAATACGCAGAATCATATTTGTATACATTGGCATAATTCCATAGTGATAAATGTTGTTTTTGTATTTTTACTAAAACAATCACTGCCATGTACTGCCTTATCTCTGATTGTTATCAATTGTGTCCATATATGAGTGTTTTTTTCAAATTATTATTACATTTTTTTGTCGTGATAACATTTTTGATTTTGATTTGATTACATTTATTTTGATAGTGTATAACAATATTACATGATAATTATTATACAATACAAAATTAAGGACTCTCAAATTGATATACAAGCATATTAGTGAGTCTAAGTTATGTATAAACAAATGATCTACTTAATTACACATCCGAAAAGGGGTGGGAAGAAGTTTACACCCCTTCTCCCAAAAACTAAATTATTAACATATATATATATTATTTATTTTCTTAAAGAAATACATTTTTTATTGAAAAAAACAAACAAACAAAACAAAAACAGATACATAAACAAACAAATAAGCAGATAGATAAACTAACAAATACATAACAGAGGTCCATGATATTCAAGAAAAGATAAAATAACAAACCAAATAAAGAAATAAACTGCAAACACCCAGTTATGATTAAACGGCATCATCCCTGTATCTTGTTCATCCCAAGGAATTTAATTTACCATCTTAATATTAATCCCCTCTATCTTAATAGTTGCTTGTGTATTTATATTGTTATTTCCAAATAATATTATTGTTGTTTTATCCAAATTCAATGATAATTTATTAATGTTGAGCCATAACTTTAGTTTGCATATTTCTGCTGTGATCTCTTCCAATAATAGCTGTAAATTATCTCCAGAACAAAATATATTTGTGTCATCAGCAAACAAAACAAATTTGAGTATTCTTGATACATTGCATACTTCGTTAATATATAATATAAATAGTTTAGGCCCTAGTACTGACCCCTGGGGGACACCGCAGGTAATGTCCAAACATACAGAACAGCAATCTCCCAGCTTCACAAACTGTTGCCTGTTGGTGAAATAACTCCGAACATGACTTATAGAAGCAGTCATTCAACGACTTCATCCAAAATAAAACAATCATGTAAATCATTATCTGTCTGATTAAAGAATAGGTCAACAAAATGTGTCCGTACCAAAATAATATTGAAGCTTTCTACCCATGTCGGTTCGTATAACTCCAAGTGACACATCTTGCATTTATTGCTCAAATTCGTTTTGCCTGTCCGTATGATTTGTAATGGTTGCCCTCATTGATCTGCTGTTGTGTTTTGTGTTGTCGGCAGTGAGTTCCAGGTGCAATACCTGCAGTCCGTACTCGTACTGTAAAGGAGAAGGAGACGCCGCCGACTGCGAATGTTTGGCCGGACACAGGAGGACGACACAGGGAAAATGCGCAAGTAAACACACAACATTTTTTTATTTAGCGATGTCGTTATTTTGGTCCATAGATCAAATGTACATTATTATTAGCATGACCATGTTCCTCTTGATGTACAGTAAGTCAGGGTTAGTCTGAATATGAAAATTCAAGCTTGACGCTTGACGCTTGACGCTCGTCAACTATCAGCAGGAGGGCGGGGGAGCCTAGCTGCGGGGAAGCAGCGTGTCAGCGCAACTCACATGATGCCGAATTTAACAAACACATTTAAATAATTGGTTTAAACGGCATAATAATAAGGACGATCGTCCGTTCTGTGATTCTCCAGAGCACACATTCTATGATATTAGGGTCATGCAGAGTGAGATGAGATCGCTGTCCCTTTAAGAGAGAGAGAGAGAGAGGGGTGTGGCTTGTGCATGTGTGTTTGTGGATGGTAGAGCGACAGTGAGAGAACCTATGGAGAGAACGTGTGTATGTTTCTGGAAGTGAAACGAGGAAGCAGAAAAACAGAGGTCTTTTGTGAAACAGAAGAACAGCTAAATAAATGCAACGGCCTCCCAAGAAGAGCTCGCCTCTCTCTAAAGTGGGTTATTGAACCTGAAGCTTGTTGCTTCTGCCCTCCTCGACTACGGTCTGGGAGCCGACAGGAAAGTTCAACACACAGTCCGCCCCTTTGAAGCATATTATGTCGATGAGAGATGAGCAGATCGCCACTGGGCTTTCAACTAAATACACAGCCACGCAAAAACTGCGGCATTTGTACAGCTCCTTATGAGTACTGCAATTAGTGAAGTGCTTTCCTCCGTGGTGAAACGATCAGCACTGCACCACGGGGGAAAGCGGCAGAATGTCACCTGGAGATAAAGAGAGCGGGGCTGCGTTGCGTGCATGCCTTCCTTCTGCAGGTAACGGGGAGACGCGCTCTGGCGGCGGTCTCGTTCAGGATCCGAAAATAAAATTTAAATATTTGTGCACACTTATTCCACTTATTCCTAGTGTGCCACTGGTTACATTGGCACGCGTGCCAGGGGTTGCCGACCCCTGCTTTAGATGAAAAATAAGGACCCACTCCCCAAGCTGCGAAATATTTGGTTAAAAAGAACACAATGGTGCTCTAGGAGGAGATTCATCGTTATGACATCATAAAGTGGCCAAAATCTGATCAGCTCATTTTCAGACAGGTTTCTATATAAATGGATCAGGACAAAGAGTGAGAGAATATTTTTTCCTGAAACTTTCAGAATGTCTTTACACAGAGGGGACACATGTTGATGTATACACGACATGAAACGGTGGATTTTGCATAATAGGTGACCTTTAAGCTTTGAGAATAGCAAGCTGACTGACTTTTTCACTGACGCCATCCTCAGGACAAATGTTCCTTTTCTTCCCTATAATACTACAGATTTAATAATATTTGTCTGTTTATTTGTCATCCGTCCAAGAATGTATTTAGCAGTTTATTAAACATCACAGTATCACAGGGATGCTACTGAAGTTACAGACCAATTTTAATGTAGTTGAAGTTCTAATAATTCCCCTTTTATTTTGGATTCATCCAGAAATGTAAATGAAAATAAATGTTTTGTGAATGTTTGTTTAACCCTTGTGTTGTGTTCAAAAGCTGTTACCGTTCATGGTGTTCGCTGGTCAATTTTGACCCATGATTTATCTCCAAAGCCAAAGATGAATCTTGATTGGGCTAAATTTGACCCCGAGTCACCCAAAACAATGCTGCTGGGTCTCCCCAGACCCGAACACCAAATTATACACTTTTTTTTTTAGAGACCTTCAGACTTGGCTAAAATTGTCAAAATCTGATTTGTAGTATTTATATAGCTGTTGTGGAGGATATCATGAAGCCTTGTTCCGATACAAAAAACTAGATTATATAATTTTAACTTGAATTGGGTCACGGGAGACCCGAACACAACAAAAGGGTTAAGGTTTGAGTTTGATCTGAACTGAGTTCTGATCTTTGTTTCCTTTCCAGGTATTTGCTCTCTGAGGGAGTGTGACGTCAATGCCCAGTGCTCCTCCACGGGGTCAAAGGTCAGCTGCGCCTGTAAGCCGGACTACCTGGGCGACGGGAAGATCTGTGTACCCAGAAACCTTTGCTCCGAGAACAACGGAGGGTGTCCCATCGACTCCACCATCTGTGTCTTCAAAGGACCCAACAAGGTTAGGACGCCTCCAAAGCCAGGACTAGAATCATTAGAGATTATACCAGTTTCATCACCATCACTGGTGTCATGTCCAGACATTTTGGAATACCATCGTTACCGCGATCAATCTTTAAACACACACACACACGTTTTGTTCTTCTTTCTTAGTGCACACTTAGAGGTATATTACTCGTCGCTGGTTATTAAAATAACTAAAATGTTGTTCCCCGAATTTTCTTTTTTGCTTTTATTCAGTTTGCTCAGCACTATATTATATCCTACATTCCTGGTCAGCAGTGTTTGAAGAAGTTCTCCATTACTAAAGTTAAAGTACAAAAACCATGGTCTTAAAATACTCCACTTAAAGTAAAAGTCCTGATTTTAAAATGTAAAAATACAGTCATATTGTCATCTTGATTTAATTCAAGTATTAATAGTAAAAGTACTCATTATGCATATGTTTACATTATTATTATTATATTATTATTATTATTATTATTATTATTATGGTTATTATATTATAATGTTTTAATGTTAAGAGCATTTTAGTATTGTAGTTTGTCAATGTGGAACACATTTAGATACTTGAAATACTGTGTGGATTAGTAATATAGTACTGCATTAAACTTTATTACCATATCAGCTTATTTACCTACAATATTTGCCTCTAAAATGTAGCGGAGTAAAAGCATAAAGTAGCATTAAATGGAAATATTCGAGAAAAGTGCAAATAAGTCAAAAAGTACTAAAGTACAATACAAGTAAGTAAATGTTCTTAGTTACTTCCAACCACTGCTGGTCAGGCTAATCCTCCCAAAAGACATGTGGGACTAAACCTTCTTATCATCCCTTCTGTAGCCAATAAACACATCCTTGTGTTTATTATTTTCATTAACAAATAATGCCTTACATTGCCAAAAGAGTGAAACAGGTCATAAACCCTTTTCATTTTGTAATACCATGATACAATACTGTCACCACAAAAGAGAAAATATATACTGTGCAGTGATGCAAATTAGTTGCTTTTCTGCGCCTCCCGCTTTTTTAACGCTGATTCGGGTGACTTGTGTAATTCGTGGAGAACCGAAGAGTTTTCGTTTGGGGGGGGGGTCCGTCCGTCCGTCAGTACGTCAGTCCGACTGACGGACAACTTCTCACTTCAGAAAAGAAGAAGAAATCTAGACCGCAAAATAATTAAACAAGTGAGTGCCTGTTTTTCCTGGCCAAGGACAGGTTCCTTGAACACAACACGAGCGTAACGTGTCTTCACGTGGTATGTCTAGTCTGAAAGGAGAGTGTAGAGTGCTGACGGAGAGCACCGGAGAGCACCGGAACGCAGCTCCAGCTCTTCAGATATTGCAGTACCCATAAGGAGCCGTACACACCGCAGTGTTTGCGTGGCTGTGTCTTTAGTTGTAAGCACAGTGGCCATCTGTTTTTATTAGCATCTGGTTAGCTAGCTATGCTAACAAATTTAAAGAGCTTTTCTACAACCAGGTGGAAGAGAGCTCTCTCCTGAGAGGCTCAAATAACCTCAGCTCAGTGAGGTTAAGGCACACCTTGATATGATCATTATAGTTATTAATGAGACTAAATGAAAAACAGGTATAAAATACTATATGACAGTAAAACAAAGTTGTTAAACAACAAACAAAAATACAGTTTAAAAGGGGAGTGATTTGTAAAATATCCAAAAAGAAAAATCTGCTTACAGTTCTGTTTCAAATGGGTGTTGAGATGTATGTATGTAAATCATGTTCACATGGATAGGATACTAAATACATTTACACACATCTTGTGTCCATATCTTTCTGTTTTGGTGGTCATGCCACAACCGTGCACATGCATGCATACGTGAGTCATGGTGAGATATCTTGATTAAGAGGTTGCTTTTTCTTTGCACAGCATGAAAGAAAGGCGAAATGAATGGGCTGTGATTTAATTTTTTTAAGCAGGTTAAGTTCAATAATTTGTACGGCCCTCGGAGGATGTTGTAAAAATTGAATTGAACAGAACAGAATTGAATTGCTGTAAATAATAATAAAAACCCTTGATTTATAACTTAACATCTCTGTCTCCTACTGATCTGAGTATATTATAAAGAATAGCCAGTTAATTGAAGCATTATAGCACAGGCCTTTGTCAGACGGTATATTACACTGTTTTTTTTCGAATAGTTCTCTCTTTTTTTCACCATACCTGTGTTTGCATCACTGACTGTGAATATCCCCCATTATCAGAATCAGTAACAGACCCAACAACACACTCAAAGATTCAAAGTGTAGAAATAAAACCAGAGCTAAATCCTGAGACTTTGTTTAACCTCACTCCCTCTGTCTCTCTGTCCCTCAGTCCAGCTGTGAGTGTATGTTCGGCATGTCGCCTGTAGGAGGAAACGCTGAGTTTGGTTGTCAGCTGGTCTCTGCCTGCTCAGCCGATACCTGTGACCCCACTGCTGTCTGTCAAACTGGAGTGGATGGACAACCAAAGTAAGACTAAAATATTTGTTATCCTCTAGAGCAGCGGTTTTCAAAGTGTGAGGCGCGCCTCCCCTGGGGGGCGCCAGAGAGCTTCAGGGGAGGCGCAGCGTGAGAAACAAAAGAACGAGAAAAAGACGAGTAAAGTGACACTTGCCCACTTGTGGCTGTCTGTGGACAGTGAGTTCCCCCACCTCGCCAAAAAGGCTGTAAAAGTGCTCATTCCCTTCCCCTCCACCTACCTGTGTGAGTGCAGGTTTTCCGCATTGACTTTGATCAAAAGCAAGTGCCGGTAGAGGCTGCAGCCAGAAGATGATCTGCGTTTATTCCTCTGTGCATCAAAGACGCAGACTCATTGTTCCCACTAAAGTAGGGGTGAGTGTAATAAGGAGGCAAAGTTGACGCTCAGTGTGTTGCCGGGAGCATATAAGGATTTATCCACCATGTTGAAAATGTTAAAAAAAATATGTCTTGAGAACACGGCGTGCGGAAATATACGGGTCGTGCTGCAGCTAGATGTGCCTGTCCTCTGTAAGAAGGTGTAGGCGACTGACATGCAAGGAAGAACGGCTGTCCACAGGCTGTTCCAACTTTAACAACTGTATTAACTTCCAGGGTAGTGAATTGAACATGCAATTGTAATTGGGTGTGTGGTATATTTTCATGCACGGACACGCATGTTCCACAACACACAACTGACAACATCAATTTTCCGATCGCTACCAGCGTCCTTGCGATCTTGTTATAATAACAAGTGCACGTTACTGATGCAATATGGTTGAGACCATTCGGGCTTATTCTAGAGGGGTGCAAGGATTAGTCCAAGTAGTGGGGGAGTTTTATACAATATGTTTAAAACATAAAAATAAAAAGGTTTAAAAAAGTTATTGTTTAATGTTTTAAAGAGGTGACGCTACTCAGCCAATCAAATCGGTGCAGTCAGCACGATAGATTCAAACACACACACAGAGACGAAGAGGAGAGAAACAGTCAGAGTAATTTCAAATGGCGGAAGGTAAACAGCGAAAACAGAGCATTTAATTGCATTTTCTCTTACTGGACCTCTTTGAAATGCAATTGAATACCCCTGCATTATAGCAACAACAACAATAATAATAATAATGACAGCAATAATAATTGGGAGGGGGGGCGCGGCTGTTCTTATGTTCTCTGAGGGGAGGCTCACCTATCCACACTTTGAAAACCCCTGCTCTAGAGCTAGCTCTAGATCAGGGTCTAGACACCAGACTAGAACCAGATGTGGACACTGAGTCGGTTTCTTTTTTTCCCTTTGTCTGTCTCTCTCATCAAGTTGTAGTGAGTAGTAGTTTTGTAGTACTCAAGACCGGTCTTGGTCTCGAGACCGTTATTGGTTCAAATCCAACCAATAATGTGACTTCACTGACTTACTTTTAAGCACCCACGAGACTCCGAATCTTTGCCCTCATGCGCCGCTTAATGTTTGTAAACATGGGACTGGTCTGTACCGGCTGCTACTCCCCCCCACCTCTCCCCACCCCGTAAACACACACACATACTCAAACAGTCTCGAAGTGAAGATGTCGGGAAATTCAACTACAATTACATTTGGCTACACAAACCACAAAAGTCTCTCTAATTTACACATTTTAATTAAAATAATCACTTTTTGAGTAAATATGATGAAGTTGAATATATATGTTGCTGTTTGTATGTGGGTCTTTTTATGATGATGTGCATCTTTCAGATCAAATTGTCTATGTTATCTTCCACATTTCATTGTAAGTGTAATATGTAGTGTTGGATTCACACTAGTCTGGTTCCGGTCTTGACTCGCTCTCGCCCTGCCTTGGTCTTGGTCTTGACTCGGTATCGACCTCTTAAAGTCTTGGTCTTGTCTTGGTCTTGCTACACTCCGGTCTTGGTCTTGACTTAGTCTCGGATAAGGTGGAGAAAGAAATATAAATATTCTGGTAATGTACATATTTGTTGGCCATTTTTCATTAACTATTTCACTGCATTAAAAAAATGGGCCGGTCTAACAGCAGTCTGACAGTACCATAAAATACATGTATATAAAACACAATAACAAAACATCTATTTGGGCTAAGACTACTACAGTATTTTTTGTATAATTAAGTTTTAAAAAAAAGATCATATTGTGTTTCTGCACTTGTTCTGTGGGAAACGGACCTGTTTGATAAATGCACGTTTTGTTCAGCCGGATACCTGCTTTTATAATTTTCGAATCATAAATCTAATCGCTAGATTTATGATCAATATATTTATGATTAGAAAATGAGAAAAACTAACTGCACAACTCTATTAATTAACTATCTATAAATAAATAAAAATGGTTGTTGTCAGTTTGTGTGAATATGTGTGCTTTTCCGTGTCATCAATATTTCTCACCCCATTTTTCTCAGATGTGTGTGTAATGCTCGTCAGATTGGCGACGGACGGCGTTGCTATGGTAACCTGATGGAACGGCTGATTGAGCTGGACAGAAGTGGGAGTCAAAGAGGAACACTGACAGGAGCCGTCGCCTTGTTCGGTAAAGGAAATACAAATGAACTGTTTAAAAAGAAAAAGGTACTTTGTGTTTCAGACTTCTAACAAGCTGGTACTTTGAGCGGTGCCAGTTCAAAAATGTTTTGTCGTTACAATTGCTACAAAAAAGTGCGTGTTACTTTAATCAGGAGGCAATAATGTCAGAACACAGAATTATATTTTTAACATTATTGTGAAAGAAGAGACTTGCAGTTTTCCTTTTTGGATCTACTTTTTGGATATTTTCTCTGTTTTAGGAGAAGGCTGTTCAATGCAGCTGAGTCGAGATGGACCCTTCACAGCTTTCATCCCACTGCTGAAAACACCTCTGACTGTAGGTCGCCTGTCTGTCTTGAATCTTTATACCTCTAATTGAAAAAAATATCACATCAAATCACTCTTATTTCGTCAGTTTACAACATCTCTTACTAAAACGCAAGGGAATTCAATATAGGCTCTATACCAACACAAATACAAAATGAACTTTTCTTTGACCTGTTCAAATCTATTATTGCTGATACACATACCTTGGTAAATCAGAGTCACAGCTACATGAGTTAAAATATTCTGTTCTCTCCTACAGTTACACTAGAAAAGGAAATCAGAGACAAGGCCACCTGTTGCCCAAAAAAACGTGCTGTAAAAGTGACGAAAAACAGACCAAATACAAAGGCAGCCAAAACAGCCTGCACATGGATCAGGAGGAGTGATTTATAAAGGGGTCTGCCAATTTTTGAGCAACCTATTTCTGATGTTCAAAAACCCACAACTCCCTTTGATGCTGGTTACTTTTGTATCTGAGAATCATGTAGTCTTCAGAGCAATACTTTTTTATTTCGTTATTCTAAATTTCATTTGGATTGCAGCCTAATTATTATCTCGAACCTTTAGACGTTTGCACATTTTACCGCAATAGCTGGACAACATAATCAACTTGTGGGCGGTTTTGGCGCAGTGTTTAGAGCGTTGAGCCGCCACTGCGTCAGGCCGTTGTGTCCTTGGGCAAGACACTTTACATGCATTTGCTCCTGTGGGTAATGTCCACAGTAATGACTCTTACATGTCTAATATGTGTAATGTGTAATTGTAAAGCGCTTTGAGCACCTGTAAAAGCGCTCTAATAAAAAATGTAATCCATTATTATTATTATTGTTATTATTATTAAGATACCAGCAACAGTGTGTGAAAACC